ATATTTTTCTCCTGCTTCTTCCACCGCTGCTGCTGCTGTTGCGTATTTATGGGGCGAGCGCTGCAGTTGTGCTATTTTTAATGAGTTTTTGTTGTTTTCCCAGGCAGTTTGGCAAACTTTTCACGTTCCTCTCTCAGAGCTGACTGACTCGATGACAGACTGAGGGAAAACGCTTGACTGGCTGACTTGCACTTGACTTGAGGCACTCGAAAAACTAATCAGCGTTGGCCAACTTTTCCTTTTCCCATCCTTTTCAAGATGCCGGCCAGTTTTTCGAACTCCCCAACCCAACCCAACCCCCCTCTCAGTTTTACTCACCCTGCCTTGGCCAAAGGAGTTTACAACATAATTAAGAATGTTGCAAGAAACTTGAGTGCGTTTAATGAGGAACCGACCAAGAAATCGGCCCCCAGTCCGTGCCTGTGCCACTGCCCCATCGTCCGGGAGCATCGTTTGTTTTGTGGAAACTTTTCGGAGGTGCCGGTGCTGGTGCTGGTGCCGGTGCAGGGGAGTGGTGCAGCTGAAGAATTTTCGGGCTCGTTACTTATCTTGCTCATTTCCTTTCAGTGCACTTTTGTGTTGGGCATTAACATGGTCATTATATCCTGCCTTCCTGGTGGCTGCATCTAATGTCCGTTGGCGTTGGCCTGCATCTGCCAGCCACTTTCTTTGCGGCTATAATACCTACTCCTTGCTGGCTCTTTGTTCTATCTGCCTTTTGAATTATGTGCGCCACTCTCTCAAGTGGTTTCCTTCCTTTCAGACTACCCTCAATTGCATAATCATGTGTATTGCTGTGGCGTTCTCCATCTCCCTTGCTCTATGCGGCTATTCCTCTGCATCCATATCTGCATCCATGCATCTGTTTATCTGTGTTTATCCTCTTGTTTCGCACCTCTGGCTAAGGCACTGTAAGAGTCTCATTCGTAATCGTGTGGCTAATGTGCTAAAACTTCTCTGCAGCACGCTCCACTGCTTTTATGGCCACCAAGCCGGCTAAACTACGAGTTCATATGTATACCGGGTAATACCAAGAACCCACCCACAATCCACTCTAATAGTGCAGCATTTAATTTTCATTATCGCCACTTGACTGCGCAATTGTTTTCTGTTACTTATAAATAATGTTTAGCTTATTAGCGAGTGCTTACCCCTGTTCTACAAATTTATTTTATATTTTGTATTCAGAATTGTTTAACCCCTTTCTGCATTGTCTTTAATTGAATGGACTATTGTCACACTTAATTAAATATTTATTGAGCATTCATGGTGCGTTTCACAGAATTCTTTTAATTTAATTTGATTGCGCTTTTTTGCTTTACTTTAATATTACCCAAACAACGTGTTTTATGGCTTGTATAAATTAAACTAGGTAGTAGTATTATTTATTTGTTATTGATAAAAACAATTTGGAGTACCAATAGGCTGTCATTTAATTGAACGGAATTGTCAAAGGCTTTAAGGATGACAGCGAGTTACATATGTACATCCCTATGGTTCGCTTGAGCTTCCTATCAACCTAGCCATTTTTAAACCAATTAAAAAGATCTCGATTGTGGAGGAAATGACCCGACTTCAATCACCAAAACCAACTAACAAATATTATTTAGCCCAAGGCAAAGGCGGACAAAAACTCTGCCCCCGAAGCCAAAGTCCTCTTTGCCATCCGCTCATTTACCATTTTGTCCTGTTTTTCTCTCCCTTTTTTTTGTGGGAATTTTGCGCTGGGTGCTAAATGTCAGCAATGCAATTAAATCGGGAATGACCAACGATGAAAGCCCGGCTGACAGCGAGATGGCAGTGGAAGCTGGCGAAGCTATAAAATTATGAAGCGAAATTGGATTTAAGAGCAGCAAAGCTGTTCCTGATCCCAATAGGCAGAGGGAGGAAAGGGAGAGCAGCGAAGGAAATGCTAGTGCCATTAGCGCCATTTTGCTTGGATGTCCCTGTTGTCCTGTTCTTCACTTCCGCATCAGAAGGCACCACCTCCCCTCCCCTACCGCTCTGCGGCTGTGGCTGGACTCGGGCAGGGGGCTAGAGCTGGAGCTGCATTTGATGACTTGAAAATTGTAATTAAACTGCGTTTGTTGTCATTGCATTTAAAAATAATCATCATAAATATTGCATAATAGGGAAGAGCAGGACAAAGTCAGTGGGGAAATGAATGGAACGGAATGGCAAGGAAAGGAAAGGAAAGGAAAGCTGACTGCAGCAGCCAGCAAGTTGTTATATTTAACTATTAAAAACTTTAGCAGGGAGCTTCATAGAAAGACGTGCGAAAAACAGTTGAGCAAAATGAATGAAAGAAACTCAGGGAAACTAGCGTGAGAGTGAGAGAGGCTCCGGGTCCTGGCATTGAAAGGGTTTCTGTCAGTTGGAGTTGGGACTGGCTGGGCCTGAATCGTAGGCTGGAGAAACGCTTTAATTAAAGTGAAATGCAAACATTTCAATTAAGCAGCGACTCTAAGCTGATTTCAATCTGGCTAAAAGGATAACTTCCGGCAGACATTTTGCCCTCTTCTGTGCCTCGCTTTTCCACTTCAGTGTGTGGCCTGGGTGCTGGTGCGTGTCTCCATCGGAGTTCAAATGTCGGTCAGGGCACAATTAGGAGGGCATTGGCATTTCCAGGAGGCGGGTGAAATCAGCGATTGACATTAATTTTGCATTAGTCCTCGGCCCTCCTTCGGCATGTCGCTCATACGCCCGGCTATCCACCGAATTAAATTATGCGCGCCACCCATGAAAAGAAAGGCAACTCAAGTGGCCATTGTTTCAGTGGCCAAACAGTTTCCGGTTCTCGCCGCCCCACTGGCCGACATCCAGTCCTCCTTCCCAGTTTCAGTTCCAGCTCCAATCCCAGTCCCAGCGCCAGTCCAACGCCCCAGACACTGCCTTGGCTTATTTTATTTTCCAATTAAGTAAATTGCGTGAGTCGGACAAAGACGCTTGCTTTTCCTTTTGTGGCATGCATCACAGAAGGGGGGCAAGAAAAAAGAAATGGTTTTCGCTTCACCTACACTACCGAAAACTATGCCACAAAATGTAGTTTAAATGAAAAGTTGAACAATAACAAATAAATAATAAATAGCAAAACCATTTTATCTTACAAGGAAAATAATTCAGAAAAGTTCAACAGGTTTTGCTATTCATCTCTAGAGAACAGCTACAACATTTTTCTCAGTGTATACACACATGTACATATGTACATATGTATGTGTTCTTGGCGCTGAACATCAATAAATGCTGCTAGCCCCAACGATCCTCCTCCGAGGGCTTCAATAACTAATCGCCGAGTCTGTGGCTCAGCTTTAATTGATTCAATGTCTAAATATCCTGAGCGACTTATCCAGAAACCCACACGAATCGGCTTCATTACGATTATGGGCTTTGATGTGTGAAAGTTGGATGTGGATGGGAAGGAAGAGGGAATGAATGAAGTCGGAAACTTCAATTTGGCAGTCTGTCTGTCACTGCTCTTGCCAGACGCTCATCTCATCCAATTTGTATGGCACAATGCCTCTGTGGACTTGGCATTGGGGATTTTTATCATTTGTATGGGCTTAATCGATGGGCTGGGATAATGAGATCATTGCGGCTAAGGCGGGTTAAATGAACCGCGAACAATATGTGTGTGGGGAGACGAAACCGCCGCCACTGAAGTGCGAATCAATATTCAAATGGAGTAGAATCCGAGCAAATTAGCTTAAGGGAAATGCCAACGAGAAGATGAAATCGAAATTGAATTGTTGCAAGTGAAATAATCTTCAAAGTATTTAAGTCAGCACACTGATGTGTACTGGATCACTGCAGTATATAGTAGTATATAGAACAATGGGAAATCAATACAAAGTGAATGAGAGAAAAGCATGAAAGGAATGCGCAGCATGTGCATAACACGGAAAACAAACAGAGCTTTCCCCCCCCATCCCACACTAAGAATTAATTAATTTAATTCACATTTTAATAGTTAAATTTGATTTCACAATATCCGACAGTCGATGCCTGCCCTTCCGCTTTGTTATTTATTTTTGCATTGTTATTTCAATTAACATACAGTCGCGTATTTTATTTACATTAATTGTAGCGACGGGTAAAAAGTTATAATTTGATTAAGACACATTATTGGCTTACTTTTGGTTTTGTTTGCCTTGTCCGAACCAGTTAACAGTTGTTGGCATTTTTTTAAATGAGTTTATACGAGTCTGTAAAGTTGATTTTACAATAAATTTGTCGCCTGACTGATTGCCACCCACACACATGGACACACACGCACACATACGTACGTACATAGCATAGAGCGAGAGATGTCCAACAATGGCTGGTGGCCTAAAGAGCTGCTAATTAGATTAAGTGAAGTGTCAAAATTAGTACGTAGTATACATAGTAGTGTGTACTTCCTTTTGGCCAGGCCAGTTGTGTGCGCTTAACCTACTCCCAAGTGCACTTGCAAGTGCAAGCAGCCAGCCGGCAGCTGCAACAGGGGCAACTGAACATGATGAATACTCGTATACTGCCACTAGTACTACAGCATACAAATGTTTTCAATTACAGGCGGCAGGCGGCAAGCGGCAGTCGGCAGTCGGCAGTCGTGGCAGGCAATACAACAGAGCAGAACAGAACAGAACAGAGGGGAATAAACTGGGCCAACAACTTTAAAAGTACAAGCGGCCGAAGAAGAGGCGGAGGAAGAGCCATCATGAGAAGTGCATAGACCAGGAACAATAGTAAATGCCACGTCAGCAGCAGCAGCAGAAGCAACAGCAACAGCAGAAGCAGCAACAACAGCAAGAACGTGCAACAACGACCGTAAAAACGAGTCAACAACAGCTTAAAACATAATCCGCTATCTAAAGGCAACAAGCGGATAGAGAGACGGCGAGACAGCAAGATAGAGCAGAAAACCAAGAGAGAGAGAGAGAGAGAGAGAGAGGCGAAACAGAGAAACAGAGGGGGAGGACAAGACTGAGACAGTGCCAGAGACGGGAGACGGGCGACGGGCGACGGGCGAAGGTAGACCATAGGCCGCTCCCCAGTGGGAGATGGGAGAGAACAAAGCGACATTGGAAGTGACGAGAAATCGTTGGTGTAATTAGTGCTGCCAAAGCGCGTATGAATCAAAAGCCTGGCCCGCAGCGGAAACGGAAATGCTGGCGACAGACGGCCCACTTAGCGGAGACGGAGGAGGCCACTAATGGAACAGCGCGCGATCATGTCCGACGTTGAGAAGGCGACTAAGATTAAGGGCAAGCAGCGCCTGCCAGTGGATGACGGAGATGCTGATGATGAGCCAGGGTCAGGGCCGTGCTCGGCGGTGGGGGTGGGGGTCAAGACCACGGCCACATTGATGGCCAAGAAGAAGAGCTGTCCGCGACGCTGCCTCGGACAGCTGCTGAAGCTGGTGCTCTCGACGCCCGGCCTAATGCTGCTGGTGACCCTCTACTCCGTGCTGGGCGCCCTGATCTTCCCGCTGCTGGAGGCGCCCCAGGACCTGACCAAGTCGGCGGCCATAGCCAAGAGCCGCGAGGACTGTCTCCGTGAGCTCTGGATCATAACGGGTGAGTGCACAAATATTTAATCGCCTACTCTAGTAGGCCGCATGCCGAATTTTGCCGCATTGTTCATAAATTACTGGCGGGGTTTGCCACACTTGATTTCCTGCAAATAGCCAAAAGTAATTCCGGCATTAAATGGAACACCGTTTGCCCATTAGTGCCGAGCAAATAGAGCCAATGCCAATATTTTAATTAGAATAAACCACAAATCCACTTTCACTGCCCACTGCCCACTTCCCATACCCACTCCCCACTCCACACTCCACACTCCACTCCGATGAATCGTATCAAATTGCATTTTCTATTGCCCCCAAATTGAATAATGCCCAAATATTTGCATAGCCAAATGTTTGGTCAGGCGCGGAATTTCAATAGTTTTTCCACCCATTTGCGTTTTGCTATCGTGCGGCTTATTTGTTGCATTGATTCACTCTAAATTAATTACTTTGTCGTACCTGCCATTGGCACGCCACTTCACGCGATTCGATGGTGGCCTTGAGAAGCCCTCCTCGTGAGCTTATGTTTGTTTAATTAAAATGCAACATCATAAATAAACCAATTAGCCTTAGCTCACTCGCATCTGTCTCGGTGGAGAGCCCCACCTGGCGTATGATTAATACGAAGAGCACTCCGTCACGCGCTTAATGATGTGCAGCATATCCATCCGCTCGCCCAGCATCTGCCTACCTACCCATGACATAGTTCATTTATCTTCCCCGCGAGCATGAGCTGGGATTTTCCAGGAGTATATTAAATTGGTTCAGCAAAAGGCGGAATCAAATTAGCTCTTCTTCCCAGCACATTTCTTAAATGAATCTGCATTTCGACTGAAACACAATCTCTTGGGAATGCATTCCATCAATAATAAGCAAAGAAATCCAATAAAAAATTCTTTGATACGAGCACTAATTAAATGCTAGTGTTCCATTCTTCGTTGAAGCTGGCGGAGCGTAGAAAACGCATTTAATTAAACACTCTCCAAGGGATCAGCTAGGCAAAGAAAAGCCAGAAAGGCATTTCCAAAGACAGAAAAACATTTCATCCTGTTGAAATGCTTTGGAAGGCCTCACAACAGACTCACAACCTTTGCTCTGAATGTTTTCATCGCTGAGTGTTACACTTCGAAGGGAAGCCATGGGCCATGGTGGGTGGGAAAAGTGTGCCCTCGGGGCATGCCTGGCGAAAAAGAGGTGTCATGGCCAGGGGGCGGCAGCACACGAGTCTCGAACCGTTATCGTTGTTGTTAACAAGCGACCCTGCAATTTGCCAGACCCGAACACGACATCAACTGCTAGCAAATGCCTCAAGACATTTGGCCCAGATCAATGGGGCAACGGGTGAATGTGAATGTGGGTGGGGAAAAGGTGAGCAGAGGATAAGCGATTTGCCAGCACTTGTCGCCCATGTCGATGGGCGGGGATCGAAGGCTGACAGAGGCTATCACTGCACTTGGCATGAAATTGCATAATTTGCACAAGGGTTTGGCCTGTCCTCGACACCCTTTCGATGACACTTAACCTTTTCTTTTCTTTTCCTCTCTTCACCATACCCCTCCCGAATTGCAGAGAAACTTAACGTACTGTACGAACGCAACTGGACGATGCTGGTCCATGAGCAGCTGCGTCGCTTCGAGGGATCCATTGTGGCTGCAACTCGCCAAGGAGCCGCCGGAATCGGTGGCGGAGCCAGCTTCCAGCCAGCCAGCGCCAGTGCGCTGGGCCACTTTGGCTACGATGCAGGCGATCCACAGAGCTGGACCTTCAGCGAAGCCCTGCTCTACTCCGTCACTGTGATAACGACAATTGGTAAGTTCCGCTTCCGCCTTCCGCCTTCCACATTCCACCTTCTACATTCAGCCTTCAAGAAGCCCACTTAAGGCGGCGTCTAAGCCGTTTAGATTTATGTTTGATGTTCATCTAGGGGGGCACCCAAGTTGGACCAGGAGCAGGAGCAGGAGCTGGACCAGGAGCTCGAGCTGCTTATTATGATTTGGGGCGTCCAGTGGGGAGTACTGCAAATATTTACACTGCGGGGCACTGCGGGCAAATAGACAACATGCCGACGCCTTCGAGGGCAAACTACAACGGCAGCAGACAAATTGTGTATACGCCCCCCGTAGGCCTAATCCAAATATTTGCATATGCCAATGCCGAACAATGTGAAGGGCGCGAAGGCCCCCCAAGCCCCGTGGCTTGTTGTTACAAATTAACTGTATCTGGTTGCCATTAACTTCCGGACGGACTGTGGCGTTCTCTCAGCGCAGATCCGGAGGCGTAAATCAACTGAGAGAGAAATGTTTAAGCAAGTGCTAGCCGTGAGAATTACGTTGCCGATTATTAAATTAAAGCGGAAAAAGATTTAAATTTCTAATGTGTATAATAATTAATTGATCGAGAATATAAACATTTAAACCATCAGTGAATCCCTTTCGGTATACTGTTGCCAATCGTTTCGTTGAATCATAACTATATACTTATACTCCTGGAATTGCAAAAGAGTCACCACATCTCCCGGAACTCCATCATGGGGAATACTTCTGTTGGGGGTATTTCCCATTTAAGCTACATAAATTTATATACTCGTATATAAGAGCTCGCTTGTGTGTGGGTTTTCTTTTGTTTTCAAATAAGTAAAATAAATATTTAATCTCGTTCTTTCGCTGGCACAGGTCATGGCAGTCTTACTCCCCGCACAGCCGCTGGTAAGCTGGCCACCATCTTCTACGCCCTCATCGGAGTGCCCCTGATGCTGATGTGCCTGTCCAGTCTGGGCACGTTGCTCGCCGAGGCATTGCAGTGCACGTACATGCGACTCTGTTGCCAGCTGCAAAAGCATCGGCAGAGGAAGAAGCCAGCTCAGACAGCTGCGACAGCGAAACCAACAACAACGACGACGACGACGACGACGACAGGGACAGCGACAAAACGACGCCAGGCAGCGGCCACTGGCAATGGGGTAAGTCAAACATGGCGTATGATTGATATTATTTAACAGCATGCAACAGCTGCAGTTTGTAGGAGCAGTGGCAAAGTTGACTGCAACTTCATCATGCTGACATTTTTATGGTTTTTAATTCGATGGCTGGAAGGACCCGCCGAGCAAAGTCACTCCGAGCCACGGGAGCAGCAACTGTTGCTGGTCGATCCAGCAAGTAGCTTCAGCTATTTGCCGGCCCTTCCATTTCAAAGCAAACTTTCGACATTGTTTCGTGTGTCCAGAGTTGCAGGGCCAAAAGTTTTGTTAGCTGCTATTTTCTGCTTTTCTCGCTTCAACTTTTCGCACTACTTAGCAAGTGTTTTTCCCTGCTCTGGCTGTAGCTCTGGCTCCACTCCCAAAAACTTATCCAGCACTAAGGTTGCGACAGCGTGGGTTGCTCTCTGCTCGGCTCGGCTCTGTTCTGCTCTGCGCCGATATACGGGTATGTATGGTATGGTAATGGCAAGCTCCTAGGCTGGCCTAATCCTGCCAGGATGTGATTGGGATCTTTGAACACCCCAGGAAATCGTGGCCTCAAAAGACGGAGGGAGTGTGCTTACAAATTCCCTAAATGGCTTATGGTCCCTTGTTTTCCGTTCGATTCCTTCCACCTCCTCCTTTTCGCCATGATTTCGCTCTCAGCTCCAGTATCCATTGGAAAATCAAAATGCATTTCGGGGTTTCCTATTACGACTTTTAATTACGACAGCAGAAGCCTTTTAAGTGGATCTCGGTCCTCTGATTCGGTTTCGGGTGTAAGCTCGACTTCTATTAACGGAAAACTGAAAGTTTGTAATTGATTTGGCCAAAAACAACAGAACTTCTTTTTACAAAAAAAAAGGGGAAAAGGAAAAGGAAAGCCCCCCCAAAATCAAGCGGTTTTTATTTTTATCGTTTTTTTGTTTATTGTTTGTTTTTGTTATCACTTTCTGCAAATGTGCCCGGACTTTTCGTATTTTGTGTTCCCGTTGCCGAATCTGGGCTGATCATATTTAGCAAGAAGAAATTAATTTTTGTTTCCCCTCCCCCTTACTATTTTCCTCGCTGCACACAGGACCTCCTTAATCTATGGCTGTAATACATGTTAGATGTAATACACATTAATGATGTAATAGGGTCCTATATATATATGTATGTGTATAATCATTTTTGTTGGGTGCCCCAAGCCCTTTTGTTTTGTTTGCGTGTTCTGTGCATTCGTGCATAAGTTTTGTAAGTGATTTGCTGGCCTCCCGTAATGACATTTATGCCAGGAGCCCCCCAGCGAGGAGCTCGAAGTTCCAGTATTTCCGTGTACGATTTTCACTATCAGTGGGGGGTGGGGAGGTCTTTAAAGCTTTAGGAATGAATGTATTTTGCATTCGCAGGTCGCGGTCTCCTCTTGTTGATTTTGCTACGTCAAATTTCTGTTTAATTGCCACTTTATGGTCATGTGGCAACAGTGGCGGAATGGCAGAGCAGCGCGAAAAAAGGTCATCACAACTTGGTTAAATAAGTAAATAAATAAGTGAGTTTGCGGTGGCCAAAGCAAATTTGATCGCGATGCCAGTCGCCTGATTGTCATCTGACAGCGCGGCAAACAAAAAGTTCATTTCATAACTTAACATTTTGAAAGCAAACTCGGTCGATTTTAATGAACTGCAAACTTCAGCCCACCCCCGCCCCCAAAAATGCCGAAGCTCTTGGCCCGCTGCTGTAAAACTTCACTGGTCTTTCGCCCATTCGACACTTTAAGAGTTGGCCGGGGCCAAAAACTTTGGCGCCCCGTTGCAGTTTGAGTTGGGTCAAATGCCTGCCGCATAAATTTCCACAAGTTTCCTCGTGCCTCTCAGGCAGGGCTCGTGCTAAGTAAATTGAAATGAGTGCGAGCCACTTTAATGCCACGAGGGTAAAAGTTTTTCCGCCATATAACAATTACACGGCCGCCGCTGAAAGGTACTTAAAGTCTGCTTATACATATACATATACTCGCACATACCTATAAATATGTGCATTGTAGCATTGCTCTGTTTAAATTAAGTAATTCCATTGGAATTTAATGTCTCAGTTGTTGTCCAAAATATGCAGCGCGTGCGGAATTCGAAGGAGTCTCAGTTGCCTGTGGCATCCGATGCATAAAATAGTTTTCAAGACTCTTTTGGAGCAGCCACCACTGGGGCATGTCAAATGCCACTCCGCTTGGAGTGGACTTGGTGAACAGCTCTGCTCGCAGATGCATTTAGCGACTCATTAGGGCGTAATCCAACCTGGGAAGATCACAAATGTGGCATGGTATTGTCGGCGTTTGAGGCTTTTCGGACACGGACATCATCCCCTGTATGTTTGTAGGTCGATAAGACTTAAGCCGGAGCTTGCGGTTTGTTCTGGGGACTCGCATTCGGCCCCCAAGGGATGAATTATTATCGTCATCGTGTTGACTGCTGCCACTCTCCGTTTTGCCGTTTGCCATTTTGGCATTTGGCTTTCGTCTTTTGCAATTATCATGACGCATGCTGTAACCGATCCCTGTCCCCGTCCCCGTCCCCTGCTCTACATCCAACCACAAGCCAAAGGACATGAGACGTTTCGTTTGTGTGTCCATCAGATTGCTCTGGCAAATCATGATGATGCCACAGAACCGCAACGAACATGATGGCAGGCATCAGCCGCAAACAGCTTTGTGGGCGGACCACGAGTATGACATCAGTCGCTTGGGTAGCCAAGAGACGGGTCCCCAAAGTCACCAGAGCCAGGAAGAGGGAAAGGGACGCGGATGCGGATGCGGACAGGGCATGCAAATTACGTGTTTTATTGACATTCCATCAAAACCGAAAACAGACTTGAAAGGAAGCCGCAACGAACACTTTCCGAATCAAGGGAACAACATCCCCACCCACCCTGATGATTATGCCAATCCAGCACATTTTACTCCGATGAATAGGGACAATTAATAAAGCCATGTCCGAACCAATTACAGGCCAACTGCAGGAGCTGCAAGTACGATGCGGCCCACACGGAGACGAGTCTTAATGAGTGCTACGAGTACGGACAAGGACAGCAGGCGGCGGCCAGGGGCAAGCTGCCACTGGATAAGCCAGAAGGTAAGTGAAGGAAGAATTTTCAGCTGTCAGCTTAACAATTGGCAAATCGTTAATCATCTTTTAACACGTTTGCTCCTGTCTACACTGCTTTCGTTCACCAGATGCCTGTCAATTGTTGCACAACATAAACCAGCAGCAGCAGCAGCAGCAGATTGCACAGCACCAGCAGCAGCACCAGCAGCAGCACCAGCAGCAGCACCAGCAGCAGCAGCTGCAGCAGCATTTTTACCAGCCACAGCAGCAACAGCAGCTTCAGCAGCAGCCGGATGTCATGCTAATGACAACAACAACAACGGGCAGCGCAATGCTGAAATATGCCCCGCAACAGCAGCAACTTCAGCAACAGCAACAGCAGCAGCAGCAGCAATTATCGACAGCGACTCTGCCGCGGCAACATCCACATCCACACCCACATCCACAGCAGCAACTGCAACAGAATTTTGTTGCCGTGCCCAGCAGCATGCTACGCTCAATGCCTCTGACTATGCCGCCCAATTGTTATGGGCCTGCCACTGCCACGATTTACTTTCCATTTGCACCGTCTGCAGCGGGCAGTCCGCAGCACTCCCACCATCTGGCCGCGACAACAGATGCATCCAATGGTCCTGGCTCTGGCTCTGGCTCTGGGCCAGGGCTGGTCAAGTACCACACGATTCACTTGCAGCCTGCCACCGCCGCGAAGCATCGACTGCTGGCTCCGGCAGAGCCTCCCATCGTGGGCCAAGGCGCCGAATCCGTGGCCACCCTGGAGGGCATAACATTGCCACCGCCGCCAGCCTACCAAACAGCCAGTATTCACGGTGAGTATTGTTCCATTCCGATGGCTCTGCGGCTCACCTTAAAAGGCTTCGATGCCGTCGGCCCAGGCGGGAGGGAGTATAGCTAATGAACGATAATGATAGTAGTCGAGCGGGAAATTTGCATAAATCGAACAATGAAAACTGAATTTAATTGGATCAACAATTTGTGTCAGCTTCGTGCACATGGAAAGCCGCAAAATGTTATCCCTGACGGCATTAGCCCTAACCTGGGAACAGAAACAAATCCGAACAGTAATCAATCAATCATACGCCCAGTTGTCGGCAGCAATGCTGTGCACTTGTCCCCCCTCCTATGTACGCTTCCCTGGGCTCATTTATGCGTTCAATTATATAACAATTTGTTGCCAACATCATCATCAGGCAACGGCAACGGCAGCAGCAGCCGCACCAGCCACAGCAACAGCAGCAACAGCAGCAACGCAGCAGCAGCGTGTTAAAATGACAGAGTTAAGCAGACATACTTTACCCACTGTGGCATTAAAAGTTTTCAACTTAAGCCGCTTGACATGCCGAGGCAAGGCGGCGACATAACAAGGACAAGGACAACATGCACTTGAGGCAACTTTCGACATGTGCGACAGTTTTATTGACGATAATGATGACTTGGCACAAAGACGATGACGGCAACGACAACGACAACGACATCGAAAGCGACGACAACGGTGATAAAGTGGGGTTTGTGGGGTATCCACGGGCTGCTCGTGCTCCTCTTGCTGCTGCTGCTTGTGCAACGCATGCAAAACTCATTAAAGTTAACAGCTCTTGTTGTTGGTGCTCTTCGTGTGCCACTCGCTGCGGCACGTGACGCTTTTGAGCAAGTGTTCGTCCTCCTGAGAATTCCGTTTAATTCCGCAACAAATTGCAGCGTGAGATTTGGCCATTTGTCAGCGGAGGGTTCCATTGATTCCATTATGCATGTTAATTGTCCTCAACTGGCACTCGGACACTGATCAAAAGGGATAGCCAGTGTCCCCAGTGCCCTTGCCCCCAACAACTACACCCACACCGAACCCTCCGCACCAGCATCACCAGCAACACCAGCAACGACCCTCTGTGGCAGACCACACCATTAAAGCACTGCCAAAGTTGCTGCAGCCATGCCACATGACCAAAGTCACTTTCAGAGGCCATTTCATGCACTCTAATGAATCTTTGTGAGCGTACTCCGTGTGTGCGTGTGCGTGTGTGTGTGTGGGTTAGGGTGCTGCTATTGCCATCCAAGTTTAAGTAAATATTTTCAAATTGGCCATGTCCGGACCCGAGACCGCATCGCGTTTTGCCAGCGTCCTGCTGACAGCTACCCAGAGAAAGATGTCCCAAGAGTTCCTTCCGTTCGTTCGTTCGTTCGTTCGTTGGGTCCTCGGTGCCAAATGTCAGCCCGGCACAGTGGTTTCCATTTGCTCTGAAAGATCAAGGGACGTTTGGGGCTGACACTTTGCTCTGGATTAGTTCATATGTTCTTGTCTGCTCCGACTTACCGGACAGAGCAGAGCATTGGACCCACCCACACTGCAATTTTTCGCACCTCCGGTGTTTGGCCCCACTGTACGTGCCGCCAGATGTTATTATAGCCTCTGACATTCTTCCTGCCACTGCCACTGCCACTGCCAGCCGCTAATGAAAGTCAACGACAAACTTTTCCAGCGCCGTGTGGGGTGGGGTTTGCTGGGGTTTTCTGTAGTTTGGTGGGTTGCTATCCAAAACCGTCCGCCACATTGTTGCATTGTTCGGCGAACTTTGCAAATGCAAAGCAAATAATTTTGGTTGTGCCCCCACCCACCCCCGCTAACTGCAGCTAAACTTGCACCAACGCACATCTGGCACTCCGCTCCCAATGCCACTTGCAGCGGGCGAAACTGGCGGCTAACGGGGCTAACCGTGTGTGGCAGTGGCAGCAGGAAGTTGCTTTGCCAAATTGTGCGCCAAACTTTTTGGCCAACATTCCATGGAGTTATATGCGCATGTAGTTTGGTTAATGGCTAATGATATTGTTCGCTCTGTGACCTGGAACTAAATTGAAATGTTTTTGTATTAAGATTTACTCTTGTCTCCTGCAGCTGTGCGGCGTGGAAAGTTCGTGACCAAACCGTTGCCACACGAGATCAATGCACTGATGGACTGTGGAACGGTAGCGGGAGCGGGAGCGGGTGACGGTGACGGTGATTTATCCAGCAGGCATGATTTATTGCCATATGCATTAACAACAGCAGCAACAAGCACCGCAGCAGCAGCAGCAGCAGCCACGGTGGCGACGAGCCCACAACTGTCTGTCGGCATTAAAGCTGCCACAGGAGGAGGCGGGGCCGCAACAATGTCCGATAACAGTTTTATAGCCGCAGGTGTCTGTGGCATGGCACCAGCATCAGCAGCGGGAGCAGGAGCAGGACCAGGAACAACACCACCAACATCCTCGAGTGCTGCGGCTACATTGTCGACCCTGCTATGCTCCAGCAACACTGGCAACGTGGACATCATGGAGGACGAGGATGAGCAGGAGCGAGAGCGCCTGAGGTACGTATCATGTGGCAGACCACCGGTCTAATGGCCACAAAAATGAGTTGGTCAGAGGTTAAGTGCCGCTGTCGCCAGCAGGAAATGGGCTAAGGCCACCTAATTCGGTTTTGCTATACAAATTTGGGCACTCCTCAAAGTCCCTCATAGGCTAAAGCTTTACTCTGTTGCAAGCACCATGCACCAATCGGAAGTGAAATTCGTTGGGAAACAGTTAATTTAATTGCATAAACAAACTTTCTGCATGCCAGCCACGCTTTAAATCAACACTCAACACTTCAGAACCAGAACGCGGCACAGTGCATCCCATCCCTTCCCATCCCATCCCTGCTTCCGCTTTGCTTTCAGACTTTGCGGTCGTTGTGGGCGGCTGTGTGGCGGGGGGGGTGCCATGCCATTTTCTGTCAGAGTGTCGAGAGCCTCGCCACGCCGCGGATGATGATGCTTTCCTTCGCCCTTTTGAGGGTGCATTTTGAGGATTTTATTTAATAAAACAGCGGGAGGAGCGCCAGCTGGTAATTAATTTTGACAGTGAACCTGTGCGCGCGTCACGGGTGGCGCCCGCGAGGGTGCAGCTGCGACTACTCCAGTTTCAGCCTTGCCTGTAATTAATTGTAAGCCGAGCAGCGCACTCACTCGCTCACTGAAACGAAACTGAATCGGGTCAATTAATCTCAGCCCATGCAACGTGTGGTGATTCCTGTTGAATCCTATTAGCTGCCAATTTCAAACTGTAGATATAGACGAGTAGTATTTACCGGCAGAAAAGGCCCCGAGGCTGTCTGCTCTTCGAGAGCCTGCCTGCTGGCAGGAGTTGAAGTGAATCTGGAGCATGTGTTTGCCAGAGAAGCAGCCAGACCAATAAATGTTTGGCCAAATTGATTCGACAAAGTCAACTCCAGAGACCGAATGCAGTTTGTCGAGTGTTCCCTCGAGACTGTTGCTTTAAAAGATTATTGGATTGACAGTCGGACTGCCAACAAATTCAGTTTGGATTGCTCCAATTGAATGTCGGCTAAGCTATAATAAATTTTGATATTTTTCCAAAGGGAAAGCTACTTCTGTGGCACTCATCGCAATACGTATACGCCGTGTGTACTACAGGCCCCAACATGGCACGTATAGAGCACGTTTTATGCCTTATTGATTGGCCCTGTCCAGGCAGACCTTTCTGTGTTCTTTTTACTGCTCGAAGTTGCCTTGGGGTTTGTTTTTTATACCTAATTGATTTATTTTATGGTCAGCTGCAGCGTAAAAATAATATATATTTCCTACCATTTTTTATTTCTTTTGCGCGCCGACAGCAACTGCCCGCATGGCACGCCCTCCCGGGTGCCGCTGATAGCCAGCCCCCTGAGTGTGCCCCAGGACTCGGGCTGTGGGCAGAGTGGCTCGCGGGGCCTGTTGAATGCCACGGCCGCCTCGTTCCACCGCCACACGATGCAGCCACTGAACCGCAAGAAGATGCTGCTCACGCGTCGCTGCCAGCGGCATGCCACGGCCGCCCTCTACGATGGCGCAGCCACCGCAACGGAGACCTCCGACGACGAGGAGTACATGCAGCAGGGCAGCGAGCAGTTCGTGCTGCGCAAGCTGCGCTACCACAGCGAGTCCGAGGACGGGCTGGACGAGGAGACGGAGGACGAGTGCGAGGAGCGGCCACACAGGGTGCCCATTAGTCTGGTGCTGCTCATCCTCATGTGCTACATCAGTGCTGGCACCGTGATCTTCGCCCTTTGGGAGGACTGGTCCCTGGTGGACGGGGCCTACTTCTGCTTCGTGACGCTGTCGACGATCGGCTACGGTGATTTCGTGCCCGCCCGCAGCTTCAACGGACCGGCGCTGCAGCTGTATGCCTGCTGCGCCTACCTGTTGCTCGGCCTCGTCCTGGTGGCCATGTCCTTTAGCATCCTCGAAACGCAGCTGATGTGGAAGTGCAGGAGGATAGCGGTGCGACTGAAGCTGGCCCGCACCGATTGAAACTAAAGTTATCTCCACAAGTCACTAATCACCAATCAATAGCAGCTCCAATGCTACTCCCCCAGCCCAGTTAACTGTATAATTGGGCATCAACTAGCCCCCTCCCCTCTCTGTGTAAATTCGTCTGCCTAGGAAAGTAATGCGTACTCTACTCGTATGTTGTCTGAGATTCAAATGAATTTGTGTAAATAAATAAATGGAATTTTGCAAAATTTGGAAATGTCTTCACTGTCCTTGTGGGTCATTCGATAGCCTCTCGTGGACGCTGCCTGCATGCTAACTAGTCACTCCGGACAGCTAACAATACCTGGACATATCTTGGCCGCTTGTACAAGCAAAATTGAGAAAGTTTTCCCTGGCATATCCATCATAAATATTCGTATTCGGCAAGCTCCTCGGCATAATGAGTAACATAACCTAATCACATTAACATATCGTACTTTATTGCCGTATATTGGCCCTCTCCGATGCCATAAAAATCAAGGGGCAAATGGCATTTATATTTATCTTAATTTTACCCAGGAAACTCGAAGTGTGGCATCAAGAACGAAGAAAGAAGAATAAGAATAAAGAATAATATGACTCATAATACCTGCGCTTATCCCCCGTGAATGTCAGCAAATAGCATCAAGTTTCTGGCTAAAATGCCACACAGAAACACAGGGCAGTAGCAGGGGCAGGGGAAACACACACGTACACTCGTACTCGTAGGACCCTTTCGAACTTGAAACGTTCATCATCTTTCCAAGGCATCGGGCGCATACAAAGTGTGTTTAGAGTGGCGCATAAATTTCAAAGTGCCACGCATCATCAAAATCAAATGCCAGCCGCAGCCGCAGCCCCAGCTCCCACTCTCGCTCCGTTCAGACCAAGGACTTTAGCTAAGCCCCCAGCCCCCCAGCCCCCAAGCCAAACCCGAAACCCATCAAAATCCCCAGAACAAGCGAGTCACAATGTCAGAGCCTGCGGAGGATGGCGACTTGTCAGCAGCCTTGGAGCGGAGCAAGATGTAGCACAAAATCAATTGATATGTCATCAAATTGAATTTATAATTCTTTCGATTTTTCCCCTGAAATTCAGGGAACGTTTAGCCGGCGACTTGTTTATGCTGGTGTCTCAATTGCCTTTGATGCTTCCGGATCACGAATTTACGCACGTTTTACCCGAAAAACTCTGGACAGGGCAGGGCCGTAAGCCCCAAGGGTCCGCCATGTCTATGCACGCTTCATTGGGTGTATGTAAATGGCATGGCATTATGGGACAAATTCAGAGGGGGGGACTATGCATAAACGGATGAGTATACTCCAAGATTGCAAGCGGGTATTTGAGAATGAAGGATCGATCGGTTAATTGCCGTACGGATTATTACGTTTACTTTTTAGATTATTTCAAAATTAAATTTAAATTATATGCAAATTGGTAACAAAATTTGCATGCAATTTGATTATATGTTGTCGAACTTAAAGAAATAATTCTTTTGATGGAGTGCCACAGTCATACACTTAATTCAACGACATTTTAAATGCAACGGCAAAGGGCATTACCCACTTCGGCTCGTCCTTGTTTATTTCAGCCCATTCATGGCCATTCATGTGTATGCTGTGTGAATAAATTAGCTCCATTCGTATTGAATTACAATGAATAAGCAGCATTTCAATAGAGTTTGGCTAAATAATTTTATTGTTTGTCGAGTGAACTCGCAAGTGAAGTATTTGTAGATAGATTTGTGAGGCATCTGCTGCTACTGGCCCCCATTTGGAGGGAGACTTATCACCAGAGTCTGTGACTATGCCAGTGTCAGTGTCAGTGTCCGTGCCACAATCACATTTAGTTTCCTCTCTTTGGCCGCTGGGGACTCGTGCTGGCAATGGAGCTAATATCGGAACAATTATCCCCGCCGACGCGCCTACTCCTCTCATCCAGATCAACCACGTGGATGTCGAAGGAGTTTGGATTGCCCGCCGGCATACCATCTGAGCTATGGCCAGGGCCCTTTCGCTCCACGGAGAAGGGAGTTCGCGAGGATGTAGCTGAAGCTGTGGGAGCTTGAGATTTCTGGACAGCAGGCGCAGCCGTCACTAGTTTGCTTGGGCACAAAGGCAGCTCTCGAGACCGATTGCTAGCCAGCCGAGAAATGCCACTTGAAGTAGGAGCTGTAGCTGGTGCTGTTGCTGGTGCTGGTGGCGGAGCTGGTAGGGACTTTCTGCTAATCTTCAGCTCGGGCGCCGTGTGTGACCTGCCATGGTTGGCTGCCATGGCCCGAGCGGTTACGGATTTTAGCGGTGGCCGCCAAATGGATTTGATTCGTAGACGCTCGCGGTCGCTGATCTCCTCGCTGATCTGGTTGAGCAACTGCAGCAGGGTGCTCGACTTCTCATCCTCGAACTCGATGCGGATGGGCGACTCACGGCCCGAGGAAGTGCCTGGATTGAGCATGATAAGCCTGCAAGGGAAAACACCTTGAAATATGAGCTGCCATTATTAATGAGGAGACCCACCGCTTGGCCTCTTCGATGGCCTTGCCTAGATTTTGCAGGTTCTTGCGCTCGTTCTTGGTGCAGCGTCCGATCTGGGAGTTTGGCAGCGTGCCCTGAAGCACCACATTCCACTTGTGGGTGCTGGACTGCAGCAGCACAGTGCGCGCCACTCGCTGGAATCTCTCGCGTGCCGTCTCCTTGGCTGGTCTGGAGGGTATGCTCTCGACCTTGATCTCCCGCATGTCGCCCTCGCCGTTCACATTGCAGCAGGCATCCGATTCCCCGCTTGTTTGCACCGGAGCCACCTGGAAGCCCTTCATCAGTCGCCGCTCCCAGACCTTGATGCGTCGGGGTCGTGATTCTGCAAAAGCTCCACACACAGGAGAAGCGCATGAAGCACCCAGCAAAGCTAGCAAAAACGGGAAATGCGAGCTTCTACTTACGCCGCTCCTTTTTGTTGGCCGAGGACACGTCCATGCCGCTGTTCTCGAATATCTCCAGCATCTCGTATCGCATCGTGTTGATTTCGCTCTTCACCTCGTTGATGTCATCCTCGGAGACGGGATTCTGCTCGAACTTGCGGTGCATGGCCGCCACATAGCGCCACACCAGGGAGCGCATGATGTTGTCATACTTGTTGAACTCCTCCTGCTCGAGTCGCTTCTGCTGCACATCAAATCGAATCAGAATGTGCACTCAAAGTCGGTCACCACTCCAACTCGAAAACATACCTTGGAACGCTGCCGATCGATGACCTTGCTGGACTTTCGAAACAGCCTAATGAGCCACTTCACCGAGGGCAGCACATTGAAGGGCGGCGGCAGGGTGGCGCTGTCCTCGAAATAGCTCATCCACAGCTTGGTGCGGGCGAACTTCCACTCGGTGTCCGAGTGCTCCTGCAAAACACGATACCAAATTATGCTCTGTGTGAGGGGGAGGGGGAGGCGGAGGCGGAGTGGGGCAGCCACTTACATCAATCATGGCATACGAATTGGACATCATGGCAATGAGCAGATTCAGGAGCACAATCACATTGATGACGCTATACGAGCCGAACATGAGGAGGCCCCAGAAGCGGGTGTAGGACTTGATGCCGCTCAGCTCGAAGTCATCCAGGCCCACCATGCCGAAGCTGGCCCAGAAAAGGGACTGCGACGACTCGAACAGGCTGACACATGAAACGAGACGAAAGGAAAGGAAAGGTAAGCAACTTCTCCCCGCTACAAGAAACGAATGTGCTCTTGGCCATAAGCAGTACCGACCATAATTAGCTGAATGAATGGACAAGCTTATGAGGGCTGGGCCGGATAATTGGCTTGGTGACTGGACTTACTTGCCAAAGCGACGCCACTTCATGCAGGAGTCGCCGTGCGAGCCCCAGTCCGCCTCCCCGCCCGGCAGGACATAGCACTTGCTCTTCTCCAGGGCGGCAAAGTACCAGAGCAGCTGATTGAGGCCACAGGCGAAGGCGAATAGCACGAGGCTGTAGATGAAGAAGAACTTGACAATGTCGATGACCATGCGGCCCAGCGAGATCTGCAGGGGGCCCAGGTGGGGATTGATGCTGAACAGGTGCACCAGCTTCAGGGCGGAGAAGACATTGGCGGCCGCAAAGAGGCCCTCGGCTATGAGCTGCGGATCGAAGTCATGCCACTTCTCGCGCGGAATGTACGCCATCTGTGAATCCCTGGCTATTTCCGTGGCCTGCTGGATGTAGGCGAAGGCCCTGCAAGTAAAATTAAAGTTAGCTAAAGCGGCAAGTAGCAGGAACTGCAGGACTGGGACTGGGAATGGGACGGGACTCACCTCAGACACATGACACTCACATAGAGGGTGTTGCGTAGGAAGTCGATAAAGTTCCACATGTTGCGCAGGTAGTTCTTCATGCCCACGGCGAATATCTCCTGCACTTCCTCCCACATAAATCCGGCTACGTACAGGACGACGACCAGCTCCAGCTTGCTGGGCGCCTGGCCCCGCTGACGCAGCTCCTGCTCCACGAGCTTCGCCTTCATCCGCGCCGTACCGAAGATGCGCACAAAGTCGTCGTCCGCCCGCTGCGAGACCAGAATCAGGATGACTGAAAGGCAAACAGCAATGAGCGAGCGTCCGGTTGTCCAGTTTGAGGAATCTCCATTAATCTCAGCTCAAGCTGTTTACATTGGACAGGGCTCCACAATCGTTGTACATACTCACACAGAAAGAACAAATACGAGGAGGCATGGATGAGAAACTTCATAAATGGCTTCCGCATCAGTCGGCCCGTCTGGCAGTTGGGGGCAAAGATGTAGATGAAACAGTACAGGGGAAAGAGCACGGCCACCTGTGCGATGCACATGATTTTATCCACGATGCTCTTGCGTCGGAACCCAGGCAAGCCGTCGTACCAAATGGAGGAGAGCAATTGCTGGATGTTCGAGTGGGCCACAAACTGCCAAAGGGAACAAAGAAGTTTAGTGTTCGTTCAGCCAATCAGTCGAATCAGAAGAGCGAGCAAACCTTTTTCTGCTTGTAGGATATGGCCTGGACGAGACGTGACAGACTCATGCGGTCCCCTGGCTCGTAGCTGGACATTTGCGGATCGTAGTTGAGGATGATGGCCAGCTCGTTGGAGGTGCGCGTCTGGTCAAGCAGATCCACCGCGAAGTTTTGGCACTGTCGCCGCAACTCTATGTACTCCGCCTTGCACTCCTGCTCTGTCAGCGCCAGGTTCCGCAGATCCCAGGAGAGCTGAAAGGCGGTCAGGATGGGATCGCTGGAGGTGAGGCAGATCAGCGAGGGACTGCACAGGGCCCGATAGATGTTCACCCGCGACAGGGAGTGCCGCAGCGAATCCTCGGCCATGAGGCGTATACACTCCTCACAGCCGCAACTGTTGGGCGGAGAAAAGGTAATGTAATCCACAATCAATCCCACAGAAGGAGCAAGTGAAACTTACCGTATGTCGTGGGGCACTGGCACAGCCGCTCCCCGATCCAAGAGAATGCGCAAAATCTCAAAGTTGTTCTTATGAGCGGCCAGCATAAGGGGCGTGATATCCGGCGCAAACATAGCTGTATTGATGTCCACCTTTTGCCAGCTCTACGATGAGAAATGCGTGCCAAGTGGTTAGATCTCTTGGAGAGTAAATTTAAGCGCAAGCAAATTATCAAATGGTATTTTATGTTTTGTTAATGCAATAGTGTGACCCTCTTTCACAACACTTCGATGGTTGACACGTTACTCAACACTTACACTGCTAATGCTAATGGCAGTTATTTCTCCCATTATTGGATTGGATTATTCAGAGTGCATATTCCATATATACACAGAGAATCACTCCCCAGACTACTAGTTTTATTTTTCCTGAAGCAACATCTTTTGAGTCTGCATTAAGCCCACTATAAACAGATAAAAACAACAGGAAATGAAATTGCTCATCCCCATTCAGACTGTCAACTTCATTCAGAAACTCTTCAATTCTGGGTTAAGTATCTGGACAGCAATGATTGTTGTGAAACAAACTTCGGAAGGAACCATGGGGAGTCGCTTCATTTGTGGATGACATTAAGCCCGTTAAACGTTTTATTGCATATGCGTTACAACAGTAATTTTCACGCTCCAATGGCGCCCAATGGCTGCCTAATGAAGCGTGCTCGTGTGCATAAATATGAGTCGGCAGAAGCAGGACGGGGGCCCAGACAACTCCATTTGGAAGGAGCATCAACGAGAAGCAGCCGGGAGTGGGTGAGTGTGTGAGTGGGAGGAGGCATTGGCCGCTTATCGCGCACACCCAATCACTTGAGCCAGGAGAAGATGTCGGTACGTGATCCGAGTGTGCGTCGGCGACACACGGAAACTGATTAAAATCGTGTTAGCCCCCCCATCCAACTGTGCCTAAGCTGGCTCCCACTCTGACTACGGGGTCCCGTTCCGACCACAAATTAGCTGAGCACAGCATTCAAGCAGGGAGAGAGAGAGAGAGAGTGGGACTTACATAGAGTTCGCCCTCCTTGTAGATGAGCTCCTCGTGCTCGAGCAGCAACTCGACGGCCTCGACAAACTCCGCATTGATGGCATGCAGCAGGGCGTCCTTTGTCTCCACTCCCATCACGACGAGCAGCTCAACCATCTCGAGGTTCTCGTTGTCAATGGCCAGAGTGAGGGCTCGCCGGCCCAGTGGATCCATGCAGTTGATGTTGATGTGGTGATGGCGCAGCGCCTTCTGCAGGATTCTGAATGAAAATATCCCATTTCCAAATTACTGAAAATTACAATCAATGGGGCAGGAGGTGGCTGCCAATAATGGAAATACGTATGGACAAAAATTCTCCCTCTTTTATCTCGCGTTCCACCATATTTTTTTGTCATTTCAAAGTTGAAGCCAAAGTTTCTAATTAGCACGGCCCTGGGGCTAAGGTCCAGCAAAAAAAAACAAAAAGGAAAACTTTGCCAATCAGTCGAGTGCCAAAAAAGCAGCTCCTTTCGACTCAGAGCCACAGGAAAAAAACTCCACGAGGGAATCAATATGGGTATGTGGATATTCGATCTCTCCTCCCAGTTCCTTTTGAAATATTTTCACCGATTCCATTGAAAGCATTGGGCAGGCAGGGAAAATTTCTCCGAAATGGAGATCAAGTTAGCCACGTTTCTGGACTGTCAGAATTTGAGTCTACCTTTAAGGCTGTGAGGACGAAAATCGTCAGTTTATGATCGTTTGCCAACATAAATTGTTGTAAAAAATTTCAAAGAGACTAAAATAGCAAAAAAAAAAAATTTCTACGAAACTAAAAAAAAAAAATCATTTGGTGATTAAATTAATTGTAAAACCATTTTTCTAAGCTGACTTTAGTATGGAAGCCGAAGAGGGAAAAGAACTAGTCATCAAGATGGCCCAGAAGAACAAGGGTAAGCACTAGCAAGGACACGCGTGAATGCAAAGGATCGCCTCACCCCCCAATCCCATCTTCCACTTCCCATCTTCGAACAGAGACGCAGACCATGAAGGCGGGCCACAGCAACTGGTTCGCCCAGGTTGCAGCCTTTCCGGCTGTGGGCCCGCGCTACACCGGCAACCCCTTGGCGCCTATCCAGGCATTCGTGCCACGTCAGCCATCGTCGTCGTGCACGTTCTACATGAACCGCGAGCAGGAACTCTACCGCCGGGCCTGCCGCTTGAAGGGCATCCGTCTGGGGTGCTTGCAGCTGCGCGACGACTATTCGGTGGAGCCATCAGATGAAAAGCTGCCCAAGGGCTCCTACCGCTACACTCTAGAGGAGATGAAGAGCCTCAATCCCTATCGTTTAGTGGATATTGAGGATTAAACCTACACTGTCGCCAGAAACACACCACACATCCACACTACGCACAGCCAGAGATCACATGTATGCCTGCTCCACACACAGCACAGCATAGCACACCACAGCACACCATCCAATGCGATATAGAAGATGCATCGTTTCCCTTTCGATTAAAGCAATAAATAATAATTTGTTCATGCTAATAATGACAGCCGCGTATGTCAACCGAGTTCAATGTTTCTGGATGCGTCCTTGCAGGGCTGCAATCACAAGCAATCGATAATTATAATTATCTGGTTTATCGGACCTTATTTTGGATGAACATTCGACTTTATGCGATTCTCGCAGCCTCAGAAATGTGTGTGGATTCTCATATCAAAGAAAAGGTATAAAAAGCAGGGTCATCAAATATGAGGTGAGGTCCACGGCTTTCAAATAACTTTAACTGTATTCATTGTCAGAACCTCCCCATTAATTGTGAATTTAATAATGCTGTAAACGAACGAGGGGGTACCTATGTACATTCGTACATATGTATATAGATGTAGGTGGAACATCCTCGCATTGCTTTTTAAGTGGCATGTAAGATACAAGTTCGGTAACCGTTGGAGGTAACCTCAGGCAGGAGGCTATGCAAATAATTGAAACCACCCCGCGCCCTGCCGCACTGTGACAGCAATTGATGCGATTTATGTTGCCTCACCCACATGGCCGACCCAGTCGACACCTGTTATTCCCACGGCAAGAAGAGCTATCGAACGGGTGATACCCCTCCTCAGGTAGCAAAGCGAAGGCTTGTATTGCTTAGACCGGAAACGAGGCTAATATTCCTATAGGATACCCTGTAGGGGGGCATAAAATGCGAGTAGCTACTCACCTGCGTACATTCGGCATATCGCCACGCTCCACAGCCAGCAGGAACTTCTTCTCCTCGAGCAGCAAAGGTTGCGGTAATCCCAGTGGGATACAGCATCCACCCACCATTGTTGGGGGGGCTGAGGTGCGGATCCGCCCACTGCCACTGCGTGTGGCGCCTCCAGACGATACCTGGCATATTTTAAACAGATATGTACAGTGCTCTGGTGAGTGTGAGCGTGAGTGAGTGTATGGGTAGGGTAGGTGCTGTTTGTGTGCTTGCGTGTATACGGAATTGCAAATAAATAAAAAATAAACACACACTTGTACAATGTACAAGAAAATTAAGTGCAAAGTGGCGGCTGCTCGGCGGCTGATTGTCTCGAGAGTCGAGAGTCGGCCGACTAAATGGCATGGAAATTAAATGCGCCACTTCCCACATTTAAGCTTAGTGCCAGCTAATGCCAGGCGACTTTAACAGGCGACTGGCAGGGTATACCAATACCAATACCCTTCTACGACACATATTTGATCTGCTGCTCGTACTTACACCTGTCGGCAGCTTCTTCTTCATGCGACCCATGCTGGATCGGTCTCTCCCTCCCTGTCTCTTTCTATGTGTGTGATTTTTGGTTTATAATTCACTTAACAAAAAGCTGATTGTAATTAATAGTCCATACGGTGCATGTGTATGTCCATGCAGCATGAATGTTTTCTGTCGTCGGCAAAGTTCCAGCTCCGGGAGGACTGCAGCTCCAGACAAATGCCAGGGGGACTTACCACATAGCCATTCAGAACTAAATACATATATTTAAATACACAAAGGCTAAGCCAAAAAACTCCAGCACTAAGCCCCGGCCAAATGCAACTTTCAAGTTGATTTTGCCTTTATAGTTATGTCCGACTGTGTCGGCGGGTGTGCATGTGCGTGTCCGGGGGTTTTTGTCTTGGTTTATGGCTTCTGGTTGCTGGCAAAAAGTTTCCATTTAAGCTGTTTATAATGTTTTTTCTCGTTGGTCGCCTGGGCTAAGCCCTTTTTGAGTTCAGCACTCCAACTTTCCAGGAATTGCAAACTTAATTAGAGAACTCTACGGATCAGAACGGACACTACACTGGCCTCCGCACTCGTCGTGCCCCCGGCAGCATCAATCGCGGCACTACACAGAAAAGCACACATCAAAATTTACATACGAGTATTTCAGCAAAGAAATGTTTTCAGTATTTCACTCATTTCCACAAGAGGTACACACGAATTATTATTATTTTTCCTATAAGCGAATTTATTTGCATTAAAATGTTCTCACTTTAGGCGTTTTTCTCTTGCCTTTCCAGCTGCTGTAATTTTTATTATTATTTCTTTTGGCTTTCATTTGTGTGTTTACAGCCCCTTCAATTGGCTGGCCATTAGATTTAATTTTTATAATTCATTGTTGCGATTTTCTCTCACTTCCTGCTCCCCTCTTCCATCTCCCGAACACAGCGCAATGAATGTTTAATAAGGCTTTTTCCATCAATGCGAATATGTATAAAGTGTTTCGACTGCCGCAAATGGATAAAATTGCACTCGCACTACATGTTTTTGCTTTAAAATGTTCAGACGCATTTAAAAGTGCTTGTAGTCCGCATAAAAAATGCATACGCGTTGCACATTCCGCCGGACTTAAGGCAGCAGAAAAAAACGCACTGAACCATTGCGAGGGCTGTGGCATAAAAACGCTTCCTGTTTGGTCTACCATTGTGTGTGTACAGTGGACAAAGAGGGAATTGTTTAATTAACTTGATAGAAATATAAGTGCGTAGGGTGGCGTTTGTCGCTTAACAGATAAATACGAGTATTCACATTTATATTCGCACATAAAAGTGTCGCCATAAATTGGGTTTTATCAGGCCAGTTGATGGAAGGAAAGGAAGGAAAAAAACATAGCGTTTAAATTGGGATTGATAGTGGTTCGCTTTTCAGGATATATATGTAAATACAGAAGTGACAGATCCGTTGAGGTGTCATTATTATGCACAGTGTTGAGCGGAAGTTTATTCAAAAAAACTTTAAAATAAAAAACTTTAATCAACTTGAGAGACTAAGTGCTAATCTTGATTGTGGGCAAGTTCCACTGACAACTCTCAGTGGGAGGAAGCCCTGGCATAACTTTGCAGCCATTACCGAACGGGAGGAGCACAATGAAAGCCAGTTATTCGCCCGCCCATCCTCTGGGCAGTCAGATATAGCCACATAATTCAGCTGGCTTCTCGGACTGCTCTTAAGCCACTTACTTCTTGCATTCCAGCGCATAAAAACGTGTGCAATTGTTCAACTCGGTCGCACAATGGACGCTGGGGTTTCCCCATCCGTGTACGGATGTGCTGCGGCTTAGGCAGGGGACTGGGAATATGAATTTATATATTTTATAACAATTGCACGTTGCATACGTTACGGCAAACCGCACTGCTCATTCTTTATGCTCTTTGTGTACGAGTATAAAATTTTATTTTATTGGTATTCCATTTTTGGGGCCGAACACGGCGAGGCACAACGCGACAATGTCGAGACAAGAACGAGAACGGGAACGTGCCACTTGCGGAATTCACACGCTGCGACTGCCACATGGAAATTTATACCTTTCCCGAGGGCCAGGCCGGGCAGCGGCGTTGTAGCTAATTTAATTAGACTAAAACGTCAAATATTTGTCAGCGCATGGATACACCTGGAGGTCCACATCCACACCAGTACGCGCACCCTGAAAGCCACCACTCTCTGCTTGTTTTTATGAATTGCAGAAATGTCCAACAGTCGCGGCATCGCCTTGTTGGGGGTCGTTTGGCTATCAACAAGTTTCTGCCCTTTGGCGGCTGCTTCTCTAAGGGGATTAGGACCCAAACATGTGGAAAGTTGCGGTCATTGACTAGGACAGCTGCGACGCGACTGTTGCCAATTGAATTACAACTAATTTTCAGTGATTTGATTTGTGCTGCGTTTCCCCATGTAATGATTATAATTTGATTTTTGAAAAACACAACACACCTTTTTACACATTATTTGTTTCACAGTGCATTGTGCTTAATTTGATTTGAAAAATACTTTATACCTTAGAGTGCACTCACAATTGATAAAATTCTTTTATTTTATATTTTTCAGTATTTTACTGTCCCCTTACATTCTCTTTCCTAACTTACTCTAAATAGAAGGTATTTTTATACCTGTACTCAAAAAAGATTTAAGGGGTATGTTGTATTTGTGGAAAAAGTGGATGTGTGTAACGCAGAGAAGGAAACGTTTTCGACCCCATAATGTATATATACTCTTGATCAGCATCAATAGCCGGGTCGATATAGCCATGTCCGTCTGTCCGTCCGTCTTGTTGAGCGCCTAGATCTCCGAGACTATAAGAGCTAGGGCAACCAAATTTGGTTTCCAGACTTATGTGATATCACACTGCTAAAAGTGTATTTCAAAATTTCTCCCGCCCCCTTCCGCCCGCACAAAAGACGAAAATCTGTGGCAGGCACAATTTTAAGATCAAATTAAAACGCATTATCGTAGAGAATGACCATATCTACCAGATTGCCGAATTTGAATCAGATCGGATCATAATTATAGCCAGAATGAAGAAAAAATAATTTTCAGTTGCTTCCCCCGCCTCTTCCTGCCAGCCACACGCTACTCATTCTCTTTCTCGCTCGCACACTCTGCCGCGTTCAGTGCGCGAGCAACCCCTAGCGGAGGAGATGTAGAATCTAAATGGTACATGTACAATCTACATGTTAGAAGTAAAATATACATTGTAGATGTAGATAACAGATGTAGCGAAAAAATGTAAAATGTACATTTTTTTTTTAATTCTAAAATTCTAAAAATCATAAGCTCAAAAATGTATATACTGACTGATTACGGGTATAAGTAGAGTCGCTTCCCCAGAAGCGACTCACACGTTCCTTCTCGTTTAATTTTTAAATTATTTATAAATATTTCATTTATTTTTTTTTGAGTTTCCTTAACTATTTTCTCTTCATTTGGCAAAACATTCAATTTGGGTTTCATTTGCGTTAATTTTACTGTACAGCAATGCGAGTCGGAGTCCATTTTTAAATGGATGGAGAGACCACACAGCCGGTGGGTGCTGCTCGTATGCGTTTATGTCTCTGGTAGAGTCAGCCTTTTACAGTCGTCAACAGAACAACCAACAGGAACAAAACAAAAACTACCCACACAAGCAAATCAAACTGTAAACTCTGTCTGCATCCGGTACGAGCAGTAAAAGCAAGCCAAATTAAATCAAAAATCTCAAACTAGATTTTGATGAGATATTCGTACAATGAAATAGCACCAAAGGGGGAAACGAAACGAAATAGTAGGGGGAAGAGCAGAGCGAACAATCCGAGCAGCTTCCAGCGTCATATGCAGTATGGGGTTGGGGCAGAGGCAGAGGCAGGGACAGGGACAGGAGCTTTGCATGACTGCACGAAAACATGAAAAGCCAAACAAACAAATATCTGCAGAGGTGTAGAGGAGAGCAGTGGCGCTGGTGCGGTTGCTGGTTCTGCCACAGGCCAACTCATTTAGTGGCAGGCAGGTGGGTTGCCATGACTGCGAGTTTTATCAAGCTGCATGCTGGATCGACCTCAGGTGGAGAGGATGAATGGAGCCTGGAAAGATACTCGTAAATGTGTATGGGAATGGCATTGTTTACCCTCCAAGTCGCGGCTGGCTCCCGCGATGCTCTGCCTGTGGTGGAACAGTAGATTTTCTTATCCTTTATATCGCTTTATATCAGGCAAAGAACAGAATGTTCGCCACGTGGCTGTCTGGAGTGTTTGCGTGTGCTTGTGTGTGTGTAGCAGTCCCTTATGCAAACATAATCAGACAGACATACAGACGGACAACAAGTAGCATAGTTACACGCACGCTCACACATATTCACACCCTTGTAGGGTTATCCAGGAACAGGAGCAGGAGCAGCAGCAGCAGCAGCATAATATGATACATTTCCATAATTCACCCAGCAGTTTGCCAAACGGTCTGCTGCAGTTGCTCCAAAGCACAGCAGCAGTGTGTGGCAAATAAAATTGCATTCAATATTTCTTCCCATTTTGCTCTCCTTTTTGATGAGATTTTTTTCCCCTGGCACCAGATAGACTGCTCCAGCGCCTCTCTCCCAAATTGTTTTTCTTGCATTATATTCAGGGCCCCGCTGCAGTCTGCTGCACTGCCGCTTATATTATTTCAAGTATGCTGCCGCATAATAATAGTACTGCTGAGGGGAAACGCTGATGAATATCAGATGGAGAAACTTTTTCCACCAAACACCGGTTTCTGCATACAAATGTGTATGTGTGTATGTACGTATATAAATTTAATTATATATTAAAACTGTTTAACCATTCCAATTGAAAGGCAGAATGATTCAATTGGACATGCAGCAACGGCAGCGACTGTCCATATATCAATCATTAAATTTGTTGTGCAGTCCAATCCATTTGAAAATGACGGTAAAACAACATTAATTTGTTTATTCCATATTAAACGCATCAGCCGAAAAGTGGGCAATGCTGTTTGCCAGCTCAATTCCATGGCGGGCAACTCCTCGCTGCATACTTTTGAGCGCCGCTTACTCGCTGTTGGGTGCGCTCTTTGTACTCTTTTTGTTCTCTCATATTTCTCGTACGCCATGACAACCAAGGCCTGTGCGTGGGTGTCTGGGAGTGTGGGAGTGCGGGTGGGGAGTTACGTCATCAATTGGCATGTGGGAAATCTTTAAATATTTATCCCTCGCTGTTTTCGCACACAGCAGCCGGTAGTAGGTAGCATTGAGCTGTTTTTCCCTTTAAACAATGCAAAATTTTCATCAATGAAATGCCTGGGCCGACTTTTAGTTAAATCGAAACAAACACACAATGTTGTGTTGGGGGTATCTGTGTTGGCGAAATTCCTGCCAACCGCAGCCACAATGGGCCAAAACTGGAGCAGGAGGACGAACAGGAGCTGGAGGAGCAGCAGCAGCATCAAACAGCAATCCTTGCGGTAAAATAAATTTTGTGCAACTCATGACAGCTCCAGCAGCGCAGCTGGGTCTGAGGTGTCCGGAAGAGCTGTGGGACCAGTGGATGGGAGCGGAGCGTACGTGCCGAGATACAAAACTTGCCAAACGGATTAGGAAGTCGAGGCCAGAGGTTGTTCCCCCACCTCAGAGACCCTCCTGCGACGCACGTTCCAGCCTCTCAAAGGGTTTAAAAGGCAATCAAATTTAATTGTTTTGCGGTTAGCCGCAAGACTACTTCATCTTCTCCATTCTCTCCACGAGGCTGTTACAATCCCTTGCCAGCATTTTACAATTCAAATGTCAAAGAAGCTAAGCAGAAATACATTTTAGCTCGTAGTATTTTTATAGTTGATGATAAGCGAGTGCCCAGCTGCCTCACAGAAATGTCAATTAAATGTATTTACATGTGATGCGAACACGGCGGAAGAACACTCACCCCAGTGACGCCAAGAAATCAGGTCCAATCGGATCCAAATAGGCCAGAGTCTGGCTATAAATAGGACTCACCTGTGCATTTGTTTACACGGCCAGGCAGTTAGACGTAAACAAGTCTCGCCGGAAGTGGGCCAACAACGGTCTCAGCATCATCAAATCAACATGAATGTCCGTGTATCTGTGGATCTTTGGATCTGAAGAAGCACCAGTCTTTAACTGATTAATCATGGATGCTCATCAGCTGCGTTGTCATTGGTCCACTTTGACACAAGTTCAAGCGGCAAGGCCTGCGAGGATTGCGACTATAAATTCTCACTTTCCGCCACTCTCTAACATTGATCTCCCGCTGTCAACGAGCCGTGTAAAGGCCAAATGCCGCTTATTTTTAATAATAAATAAAAACCATCCCCACGGAATGATATATGTAAATATGTACATATTTATGTACATACATATACATATTTGTGAAATGTCATAAAATGTGGCGCCAGGCACAACAGCAGCGACAGTCAACGACACCACAACGACCTTAGTAGCTGCTTCGATACATCAAGTGCCGAGAAAAGTCAGAAAAGAGCCAGAAATACTTACGACATAGCAAATAATTAAGGCGAACTATGTTTTGTTCGAATTAAATAATTTATACCGCCATTTGTCTACGCATTCTGCATATTTTCCATTAATGACACAGAAAATAGAACTGCCTCAGAGCAGCGGAAAAATGAATTGGAATGGCTGAAAGCACTGAGATGAAAGGCGAGCTAATTGATTCGGAATGATGGCTAAATGCTAGACTACTCGATCGCAGCTCGCGATCGGCGATTGTATGGTCCGGTCCGGTCCACACATTCAGTCTGTGCGTGGGTGGAATGTGTAGAGCAAGGTCGATGGCTGCAAGAGAAAGCGGCATGGCATCCCATTGGGGAGATCGAATAGACAATATAGACAATATCTACATATATATCTGTATGCATGTACGAGTATATGTATAGGAGAAGGATCATGGCTGTATGCCTACTTTATTAGTTGCGTCAAGATCAAGTTCCTCGATCTACAAGACTAATCACCACCGTAAAGCCACCAAATACCTTGCCCTCTTTCATTAAAGCAACACGACATTTCTTCATACCTGGGCTCAAAAGTGTTGGCAAGTTATCAGTGTTGAGCTCAACATTCTTCAAATAGTATTCACCCTTTCGGAGCGGACACAAGTCGTTGCCTGTGGGCAGGTTCGAGTCTTGCAAGGATGGTTCTAAATACTTCGCGTAAAAATTCTTCATAGAGAAGCAGGGTTTTTGGCGCCAATTAATATTCATTCGTGCCCACTTTCCATTCTTCCATGTCCAGACATCTATCAATACATCATAGTCCTCGTTAAGATCCACATGATAAACTATCGTTCCGTTTACCAACCGTTGGCGTCCCACCAGCTTTAGGTAATGCTCGAATAATGTTACCTCGTCTCCTTGAACCATTTCTATCGATTCGAACTTTCCATCGAATCTGGGCGCTGCAAAGCACTAAAAGGAAAGAGTTTTCAGTTTTCCGATTATAATATTTATCTATTTTCGTGTTATCTACCAATGTGGACAGGAGCAGTAGTGCCTTTAGCCACAGCGAGAACATCTTTTGAAAAGTTTAAAAAAATTTTCTACAGCTTTCAGTTCACCTTTTGCCACCTCTTTTTATACAGATCTGCATGGCATGTTTTGCACCCATTAACATGGAATTTTCACATCACATCTGACGGATTCTAGATAACATTTGATGCTATCGGAGTAGTGTATTGGTGTGACTACATTTTACAACCTGAAATTTGATATAGAAAACAGTCCCTGATACAGCGATCCGAATCAGGTTGTTCCGCATTTTTATACCCGTACTCAAAAAAGAGTTAAGGGGTATATTAGATTTGTGGTAAAAGTGGATGTGTATAACGCAGAGAAGGAAACGTTTCCGACCCCATAAAGTATATATATTCTTGATCAGCATCAATAGCCGAGTCGATATAGCCATGTCTGTCTGTCCGTCTGTCTGTCTGTCCGTCCGTCTGTCCGTCTCGATGAGCTCTTGGATCTCAGAGACTATAAGAGCTAGAGAAACCAAATTTAGTTTCCAGACTTATGTGATATCACACTGCTACAAGTGTATTTCAGAATTTCGCCCCGCCCCCGCAAAGGACGAAAATCTGTGTCAGGCACATTTTTAAAGATACGATAGAACAAAAAACGCGTTATCGTAGAGAATGCCCATATCTACCAGATTGCCGAATCTAAATCAGATCGGATCATAATTGTAGCCAGAATGAAGAAATTAATTTTCAGTTGCTTCCCCTACCACCTCCTGCAAACAACAACGTAACTCATTCTCTTTCTCGATCGCACACTCTGCCGCGTTCAGTGCGCGAGCAACCCCTAGCGGAGGAGATGTAGAATGTAAATGGAACATGTACATTGTACAATCTACATGTTAGATGTAGAATATACATTGTAGATGTGGATGTAGATAGAAGATGTAGCAAAAAAATGTAAAATGTAAAATTTTTTTTTTAATTCTAAAATTCCAAAAAATCATATGCTCAAAAATGTATATGCTGACTGAGTACGGGTATAAGTAGAGTCATGTCCCCAGAAGCGACTCGCACGTTCCTTCTCGTTATTTACTTATTTATTGCATAGAAAAAACTTATCAGGCAGATATCTTTAAAACTTAATTATCTCAAGTGTTTGTTTTCATTATGTCAAGCACACTGATAAACAATTATATTGCAGGCAATATCATTTCTAATGATAATCAAATTTAGATTAAAATTGTAATTGTGTTCAACATTATCCCTCTGGCCTGCAAAAATCTGTGGCAATAACCCCGAGCTCTTTGCTCCCAGTACCTGACTGCCTGCCTCCCCTCACGTACGGCCACTGCCACTTCCATCAGCTGACACATTCCCAGCAAATTGGGGCTAATGGACCAATGCTGCGTTGCAGTTGGAATGAGGCTGTATGCAGGTTCCTGGCTGCTACTGCTGCTGGCTTCTGGCCTCTGCCTGCCGGACAACATAGTTTATTATTAGCTCGCAAAGAAGTTTAGCGAGGTAAACACAGTTGCGCGACTTCATGTTGCGACTGCGCCTGCAGTCGGGGTAGAACTCGGCGGAAAACTCGGGGAAAAATAATTTCGAAAATTGTGCTTGGAGGCAACTAGAGAAAGCGGCATGGCATCCCATTGGGGATATCCAATAGACAATATAGACAATATCTACATACATATGTATGTATGTACGAGTATATGTATAGGAGAAGGATCATGGCTGTATGCCTACTTTGTTAGTTGCGTCAAGATCAAGTTCCTCGATCTACAAGACTAATCACCAGCGTAAAGCCACCAAATATCTTGCCCTTTTTCATAAAAGAAACACGAAATCTCTTCAAACCTGGGCTCATAAGTGTTGGCAAGTTATCAGTGTTGAGCTCAACATTCTTCAAATAATATTCACCCTTCCGGAACGGACACACGTCGTTGCCTGTGGGCAGGTTCGAGTCTTGCAATGATGGTTCTAAATACTTCGCATAAAAGTTCTTCATATAGAAGCAGGGTTTTTGGCGCAAATTAATATTCATTCGTGCCCAATTTCCATTCTTCCATGTCCAGACATCTATCAATACATCATAGTTCTCGTTAAGATCCACATGATAAACTATCGTTCCGTTTACCAACCGCTGGCGTCCCACCAGCTTTAGGTAATGCTCGAATAATGTTACCTCGTCTCCTTGAACCATTTATATCGATTCGAACTTTCCATCGAATCTGGGCGCTGCAAAGCACTAAAAGGAAAGAGTTTTCAGTTTTCCGATTATAATATTTATCTATTTTCGTGTTATCTACCAATGTGGACAGGAGCAGCATTGCCTTTAGCCACAGCGAGAACATCTTTTAAAAAGTTAAAACAAATTTTCTACAGCTTTCAGTTCACCTTTTGCCACCTCTTTTTATACAGATCTGCATGGCATGTTTTGCACCCATTAACATGGAATTTTCACATCACATCTGACGGATTCTAGATAACATTTGATGCTATCGGAGTAGTGTATTGGTGTGACTACATTTTACAACCTGAAATTTGATATAGAAAACAGTCCCTGATACAGCGATCCGAATCAGGTTGTTCCGAATTTTTATACCCGTACTCAAAAAAGAGTTAAGGGGTATATTAGATTTGTGGTAAAAGTGGATGTGTGTAACACAGAGAAGGAAACGTTTCCGACCCCATAAAGTATATATATTCTTGATCAGCATCAATAGCCGAGTCGATAGAGCCATGTCTGTCTGTCCGTCTTGTTTGACGCCTGGATCTCAGAGATTATAAGAGCTAGGGCAACCAAATTATGTTTACAGACTCATGTGATATCACACTGCTACAAGTGTATTTCAAAATTTCGCCCCGCCCCCTTCCGCCCACACAAAGGCACATTTTTAAAGATACGATCAAATTAAAAACGCAGTATCGTAAAGAATGACCATATGTACCAGACTGCCGAATCTGAATCAGATCGGATCATAATTATAGCCAGAATGAAGAAATTAATTTTCAGTTTGCTCCCCTGCCCCCTCCTGCCAACGACAAAGCAACTCATTTTCCTTCTCGCTCGCACACTCTGCCGCGTTCAGTGCGCGAGCAACCCCTAGCGGAGGAGATGTAGAATCTAAATGGTACATGTATAATCTACATGTTAGATGTAGAATATACATAATATATGTAGATGTAGAAAACAGATGTAGCAAAAAAATGTAAGATGTAACAAGTTTTTTTTTTAATTTTAAAATTCTAAAAAATCATATGCTCAAAAATGTATATACTGACTGAGTACTGGTATAAGTAGAGTCGCGTCCCCAGAAGCGACTCACACGTTCCTTCTCGTTTTATTTACTTATTTATTGCATAGAAAAAACTTATCAGGCAGATATCTCTAAAACTTAATTATCTCAAGTGTTTGTTTTCATTATGTCAAGCACACCGATAAACAATTATATTGCAGGCAAAATCATTTCTAATGATAATCAAATTTAGATTAAAATTGTAATTGTGCTCAATCTTTTCCCTCTGGCCAGCAAAAACCTGTGGCAATAACCCCGAGCTCTTTGCTCCCAGTGCCTGACTGCCTGCCTCCCCTCACGTACGGCCACTGCCACTCCCATCATCTGCCACATTCCCAGCAAATTGGGGCTAATGGACCAATGCTGCGTTGCAGTTGGAATGAGGCTGTATGCAGGTTCCTGGCTGCTGCTGCTACTGCTGGTGGCTTCTGGGCTCTGGCCTCTGCCTCTGCCTGCCGGACAACATAGTTTATTATTAGCTCGCAAAGAAGTTTAGCGAGGTAAACACACTGACTTCATGTTGCGACTGCGCCTGCAGTCGGGGTAGAACTCGGCGGAAAACTCGGGGAAAAATAATTTCGAAAATTGTGCTCGGAGGCAACAATACGTAACGAAAATAGCGCACAACGAGGCGTTGTCAGAGGCGTACAATGCCGAGAGCCCAAAGTTTTCCCCGAAACTTGATTGAAATTGAAAAATATTTTCGAACGTGCCGAAACAGTTGCGCGTTCAATGAGCGAGCGGAGAGACGGGTCGAATCGAATCGTTCATCGGACATCGGGCATCAGACAACAAACATCGGAGTGCCACAATTTGTCAAAATATTCCCCGAAAATACTGGGAATTCGCAGTGATGTGTAAACATTTATAAGGTGAAAAGAGTGCAAATAGTAGCAACCAAAAAAAAAATAGTTTTCAAACAATACAGAACTCAGCAGCAGACGGGTGGGGGTGAGGGAGGGCTAAACGATTCCGTGAACACTAAATAACAAACAGACTTTTCGTCCCACAAGAGAAAGAGGATCTGTGTGAACACGGGCGGAGCATTCCTGTATGCAGATGGTGCCACTGGCGTGGCGTGGCGTGGCGTGGCGTGGCAAGGTGTGCAGGCGGAAGAGCAACAACAATAGCAATGACAACGACAACCAAAGCAACAGCAAATCAAACGAAACAAAGCAAAACATTTGCCTCAAACTAATAACAGAACTTTGGATGCTCTTCCCGTGGGAAAATAACAAAGATTTGGTGTATTCCAATAATACTTATAGTTCCATATATTTTCGTCAACTTGCGTCAAAAGTTGATGCACTTCTGGTAAGGGTACAATCTAAAAACAAAACGTGCCTTCCGCCATTTTCGACAGGAGAGAAAAAAGCACGCGAAGAGACCGCCAGCAGCGTTAAGCGCATTTATAGGATTTGCATTATTCGAGGCAAAGCCATGGACGGAAGCGGTCAGCGGAGCCGTGACATCAAGGCAGACTGCATGTGGGAGCCAATTCAGTTCCAGTTGTAGGTGCAGGTGCAGGTGCAGGCACAGGTCCAGGTACAAGTCCAGCTTTGCCTTTCAGTCCCTGCCCAAATCAAAACGCAGCTTAGTTCGGCAGCCAGTCTGTTTATTTTGGACTCCGGCTGAAAACTTTAAAGCCAGCCTAGGTTCCGAGCCAGAACTGGAATGGGCTTGTATGGGATGGGTAAGGAATTGCGGAGCCGTACAGAGGTTTATTCGGAATCCGGCGCCAGACCACACCGTTGTCAAGGCACGTTCGCATCAAGTGGCACTGCCCCGGCCTGCCGTGGCAGGCGTTTTGTTTATTTGCTTTTGCTGCCTGTTGGCTCAACGTGAGGCAACTGCCCAGCAGAGGGGAAAGTGAGAGGACTGAGGATGGTAGCAGTAGACCAGCAGGCGGAGTGGCAAGTTCTATGGCTGCAGCTGCCGTATATAAGTAATTTTATGGCCAAGGCTTCGGACTGTACGTTTTCGGCTCAGCCGCTGTTATTGTTTATACGGGGACTGGAAGCATTTTTAAAGCCATTTAAGTTCTGCCCCCACCACTCCGCACATTTAGAACCACTCCCCACATCCACAGACCAATTAGACAGCCGAATCACTGCTTCCACTCTCCGGTCCTACTGCTTATGCGGTTCTGGCCATGACGCATCGCATGGCTTTTTATAGCGTCGTTGTCGTGGTTGTCATGGTTGTCGTTGCGTCCGGCTATTAGGCTTTCTTCCGTTTGATAAGATACGGCTCTGCGACCACGGCCGTGAGCGTAGAGTGGAGTGGAGGGGGCGTGTCTGCTTATCGGATACGCCGTGCCGGTAACCCATATAAAAATAGAAGAGAGTAATTTAATAACGATTCCAGACACACATGTGCATGTTTGTCTAGCAATTATTTATAGTTCACACATTACCAGAATTTATGCACTTGTTTCTGGAATGCTTATGAGATTAGACAAAGACTAAGGAACGCGAGAGCAAATATATTTATTAGGTAAGATTTATAATGTTTCCGAGTACAATAAAGTTGAATGGAAGTGCCAAGATCTTGATGGTTACCAATATGCTGGGAGAGAGGATATTAAAATTCCACTTCGCTTGCACCAATCGGTGTTGGCTTTATTTATCTCCTATAAGATTTACGAGTATTTAATCTGACTACTTGTATTTCCCTTCATATCAGTCAGTGCCCAGTATCAGCGATGGTCGCCTTTGTGATTGTGTGATGCAACGAGCAGTTATTCGCCGCATGGCCGAGAGACCAGACTCAGGTCCTAGCCAAAAACGTGACACAATCGCTGATGCGGCAACAAGTTGCGAAAAAGTGACAGCCTGTGAATAGGAAGAGGCATTAGATCTGCACATACAAGTAAGTATAGTGCATATATTGGTGCTGGGTGTTGCCAAAAGCGAGGCGCGATAGAAACTACACTGAATGTGCTAAACGACAACGGGGGAAAATGATTTTCACTCGCTTGCAAACACCAGCCGCAAACTGAGCGGAAAACCAGAGAGAAAACAGATAGATGGGGGAGCAAACAAATTGCTTTGCCATTTATTTTTATACGAGTACCAAAACAGACAAAACCCACAAATACTCGTGCGAGTACGACTGCGAGTGCATACTCGTATAGCTAGCTTTTGGGAGCGGAATCGAGTGAAGTTTAGGTGTGTTTGTGCGTTCTTATTTATAGATACATATTGAATGCTCGCGAGAGTCGATCGGCGACAAGTCGTGCCAACCGCAGGCCCGTGCCTCTGCCAGTTATCATCGGCCAAAAAAAAAAACATTTATAATGGAGCGCCAAGAGCGGCCACAAAGGAACACATATGCGAGTATTGGCAAATGGCAGAAGAAGAAGCAGCAGCCAGAGCAGCCAAAGCAGCCAAAAGCAGCGGCGAAAATGGCTCAAATCAAATAATGTGGGGCCAGGCCAAAACAGTTTGAGGCAAGGCGCTCGCTCGCGATGACACAATAGCACGCTGAGGCGCAGGCGAACGAATTTCGCGCTAATATCAAGCATACGCAACGTGGTGCGCCACCGCTGCCATCGGCTATAAATAAACAAAACGGCAAAAAGCAAACAATTCTTTTGTGCCATTTTTTAAGTGCGCAGAAAATACAAGAATCGGCCAAACGAAATATCCCAAATATTCATACAATATATTTGGAAATCCAGTCAAAAGTGAAGTGAAGTTGATTTGAAAATCTGAAACGCAAATGCGAAAATGTTCTAAATAAATTATAACAAGTGCCATTAAATATTGTAGATAAAAGCAAACGCATAAAGAAGCAAAAACCACAGACATTTGCGCCCGTGGAATACTCACAAATATTTGTTCGCAGCCAACGGAAAAGTGCAACAGCTTCAGCACGGGTCAACGTCTGCGGGAAGCCAGCGCCAGGGGACGCAGCAGCATGATCTACATTGATGACTCAGAGCCGGAAGGCGGTAAGTCCCAATGGCAGTCGACCAATTGGTGTGGCACTGCCACAAGAAAAGCCACCTAACGGAGCACTCCGATAACAGGCCAACAGAAAACCGGCCGCTGTCAGCGCTACGTATACGTGTTGTGTTTCATCGCTGATAAGGGTCGCCTACAGCGCCCGATTGCCAGCGGTTATCTGTAAATGTACTATATAAGGGGTTCTATCTTAGTATACTCGTGTATATGGCTCCCGATAAATGCACCCAGATAGAGAAGCCAGGGGACTTTTGCAATTATTGTAAATTATTTTCAAGAGCTCAACTCTATGACTCTTTCAATCAGGCTTCGCACAGTTGTTTCCTTTTCATTAGTACCTTGTCTGCAGTGCAGACCTATCCACAAAGCGAACACAATAAACCCTTAAATGCCAAACTGCAAATAGACAAATCAAATCAACACAAATCTATGGCTTAGCAGATGTCTCTGTTCTCTTTTGGCCCCACCCCAGCTATCAGTATCAGCGGATAACTACGCTTTAATAAAGGGCCAAAACAATAAACATTTTCGGCCCATCATGCTGATACTGATGCAAGACATTAACTTTTATGCACAGATAAAAACCAAACAGAACCAAACCAAACCGAACCGAACCAAACCTAACGGAGATCTGTTAAAATCAAGCTGTGAATGGTGAAAACAAATGCTTAAACGATTTAGCGCCGCATCCCAATGGGCGAGGAGGCTTTTAAAAATACATGAATTTCAATAAAATACGACAATGCCCGATACTGAATGCTGGGCCTCGGATTCGGATTCGGGTTGGGCAAGGCAATGGCATGGCGTGGCATGGCATCCCCCAAAAGGGTGTCCAGATAAGGCGGGACTGTGATCAGGAAACATTTGCGACGCCGTTTCCATTGTCAGAAACAATAAATTTCACGCATAAAACAAAAGAGAGGCCAAATAATTTCACTGTTTTTCTCCTTTTGCTTTCACTTTTTTTTTGCCATATTAAAGCTGAAATGAAAGCCAACGGGAAGTAGGAAAGTACGTAAGGGGCGATGAAGGATAAATGTCACACCAGATGAACGTTAAGAGAGAGACAGAGAATTGGGGGAGGAGGGTTGGCTTGTTAGTCAGTGGTAACAGTATCTGCCGTGGAGCCCAAAGACAAAGGACAGTCCAAAATCCCAAACTCCTAAAAAACGGAAACGGAAGTGTCAAGTAGTTGGACGAAGCGGGAAATGGTTAAAAGGGAAACGGCCCAAGGAAGGGGCAAAAGCATGTAGCATGAAAAATGGCAAACGGCGGGGCAATTCCAGAAATGAACGAAACCCAAAAAGAAAAAACTTCGACAGACAGCGAGGCAAAAACCACGCGTAACACGAGGAGTGCGACTGCAGTAGCAAAGGGAAGCGGCACGGGTTGTACGAGTATACCACACACAGAGGCGTCCTGATTTAGTGCCACCTACTCTCACATTGCCCCCCCCGCCTCCCATCGCAAGCCAACAAGAAAGAAAGAAAACGGAAAAGGGTTACGCGTCTCGTTTTCCCAGGCTGTTTTCCCCCAAATTGGCAAATAACAACAAACGGAAATACTTGTCTGCCTGCGGCAAAGGTGGCAGAAGGTGGCAAAAGGTGGCGGCAGGTGGTAACCTGACCGATTGGCCAACCTTTTCTGGCAAATTTTCACAGTTTCTTGTCACCCTTAGACATAAATATATTTTTGCTATATTTAGCATGTGTGTGTGTGTGTATTTCTAGGGTTTTTCTCAGCTGAATTATGTGCTAATGACACATAAGCTGATTTCTCAATTTCCTTTCCCCAAAACCTCTCTGCGTAGCGTAATTATCGGAATCTTCTCTGAGCTCCAGAAAAAAGGCGAGCTTTAATCAGGCAGGAAATGAAAGCATTCGTAGCGGAAATTACCAAACCGCAGATAAATTCAAATCGCTGGCATATATGTACATACATACTTAAATACGAGCATGTATTTATAATGAAAAAAATATATTGGATATTTTTGCCCATTCTGTTTATACGAATTCTGCTCAGATGAATCGTAAATCAAGCAAGAAAGACTTGAAACTGTGTATTATTTTTCGTGTATACTATTTTATAAATACAGTTGATTATTATAAAAATTTTCTATTGCGTGTTTTGGGGGGACGGACGATGAAACAGGAGGAGCAGGCATCGATATTGTATAAACATAAAAACCGAAATCTGCATAAAAATGCTGGCCAGCCACCGATTTCTGGCGTCATTAAATGAACAAAATGTACATATTTATACATAAAGAAAGAGCAACAGTGTGTACACGCTAAGAGAGAAGACTCTTCCATAGGAATATTGTTCTAAATTCAGCCATCATTCACTGTTTTGAAAAGGGGAAACATTTTTCATAGATTTTTTTACGCCGCCACCGAAAATATTCAAAATTAAATTTATATTTTGCCTTTAATTTTTCGTACTGCGCTGCCAAGGTGAGTGTAAAACAAACAGACGAAAATCGAAAGAATTTTCACATGCTGTCTTCAAAGTTACTCACCCTCCCCTTGCACCCGTCTCTCCCAAAGACCACAAACGCACAACGAGAGACTTTTGTATCTTGAGATACAGACATATGTACAAACATATATATATATATAATTGAGATAAATTTATTTTACGTCGCATTTCATGTTGAAGGTCGTTCGTTGCTATTCACTTCAGTTGACGTTGCAAATTCCTCGACTCTGCCTCATCGTGGCCGGCGCGGCGGGGTCTCTGTACTCTACTTTGTACGAGTTGTATATAAGGACTGTTTAATGGGATCTAGTCCATAAGCAATAGCCTCGATTTGATCATACGTATATCTATTTGTCAAGTAATTATGTAAATATTTCGCGCTTCCTGCTTTTGTTTGCTATTGTCTGATTTTTATTTTGAGTATTCCCAAATTCTGTGATTTTTCTTTGAATTCCCTAGTTTCTTGGCAACTACATATACTCGTACATATGTATGTGGATATATGTATATCCCATAGATATAGCTTTCTGTATATCGTGAGTGTGTGACTGTGAGTGTGCGCGTGCTGAGTACTGAATGAATGAGAATGAATGCGGTTATGTTTTTGTGATTTTGGCTTGTAACCAAAATTTCCGAATTTATGTTTCTCTCTCTGACAGCGATAATTTATTGAACCTGCTGGGACCAGGAAAATTAAAAGACTTTTTATCTGCATATACATATCTGCGGATTATAACATTTAAATAGAATATTTTATTCCAGCCGCAAGGCACGGCAAAGCAATTCGCCATAAAAGGAGCAGGCCAACAATTGAACATCGGTCTGTTTCTCTGGCCCCAACCATGTACATTGTACAATATCCAGTCGGATTCGTTCCATTCTTTGTTGCCGGGACATGCCTGCAGTGTTGTTTAAATTTTTAATGCAAAAGTATCTCTGGCTGCTGCTGGGACGGGACCGCAGCTGCAGGTGGAACTGGGGCAGCCGGGGCAGCATTAAAAATGCACATACGAGCGTGTGAACGAGTGCGAATGTGTATGATTATAACGCATACGACATGTGGCGCAGGAATGGCAGAAACAGATGGGGCGTGGACTGCCGCATGCTAAACAAATTAAAATAGCAATTTAATGTATTGGCAGGGCTGGCAGGGCTGGCAGGCAGACAGACAGACAGGCAGGCAGGCAGACAGGAAGCCTTGGTAAGATTGCATTTGCCAAATGCAAAACTAAACAAAAACTCTCTCCATTGGCAGAGGAATCCGCTTGTTGCAGCTCAATTTGCATGTATGGATGTAGTATGGATCGTACTTCGCGCCCAAAATGACAAACGGAAATTTCCATAATACAAAGCCCTTACCCCAGTTTCCTTCCAACGCAAATGCAACTGAAAATGTTATGCATGCGGAGGGGACGCTGCTCTGTCCTGCTCTGCTCAGCGAATATATCCCTCATCCAAAAAAAAATAATCAAAATTATGTAAATTATGCTTCTATTTACTAGCAGAGCAGCCGCCTCTTACATGCCTGTCGGGCAGGTCATTTCGCTTGCATTTCACGTCATCAGCCTCATCATCGGGCTCTGCTTTGCGTCATGGTGCTCTGTGTTCTGTAATTTCCATGTTGCCAATTGGACGATTTATGGCCTCGCCTAAATGCCACAGTTGCATTCATCAAAAATCGAAACTAGCCATCGAGTGCCATGCAATCAAAAGTCATAATCAAATGTGCGAAATTATAGCATTGCGTATGCGGCATGGGGCACGGCGCACAGGCGCGGCACACGACCCTTTATTCTATCGACAGTCAGGTTTAATGTAACGCTAAATTACTGCGAATTCTGTGCGATGTTTAATTGGAGACCAGTAACTGCATTTTAAATGCAATAACTTGCCGAGTGCTTGCCCCGTTCCCAAGCGGCATATCTCTTCGGGTAACCGCCTTTATGCAACCAAACAGATCGTTATTTGGCCCAAGCTTTGGCCCATTCCGGCTGAAATTAAATGAAACGCTATAAACTGTAACTGCGTTGAGGTCGGGCCAAGAGTAATGCGTCCGTTGGCGTCCAGCAAAGGGCTGCTTCCTCCGTGGAGCATGGAGCAGAGTGGAGCACTCACAGAGAATTATGGCTTACCGCTGCTGGTAATTACTGCTCAAATGATGCTCGACATCAAGAAACGCTGAAACCAGATCTCACACATTTACCCCCGTTTTCACACCTCCGAATATGTTGCTCCTGCCTCCTGGCTCCAACTCCACTCTGGCACACACTCATCAAGTTTCAGTTGGCTAAGGCTTTGCACACTCAGTATTGAGATTATTCCACAGCAACTCTATAGTTTGCCAGGACATCTACTTACATTGTTGACTAATTACTTACGAAAAATATTCAGTTCCATTCGCAATTAAATGCTGAAATGAATTTATCAATGATTTCTGTGCAACTCTTATTCCTCATCAACCAATTATCTTTTCAGAGGTTTCTGTAATGTAAGTCCTTACTTCTGAGTT